GGTGGTGACTCCTCCAGTACCTCAGGTTTGTAGTTGAGCAGCTTTAGCAATCTACGTAAATGGAATGACAGTTCAGGTAGGACATGGGTTTTTGAATTGTTGGGTGGACAGATAGGCTGTTGGGGTGGTGGACAAAGCAGCCGCAGGGGTCTTTGAGTTGGGCATGGAGGCTGGTCGGGATCCGTGGGTAGGCAGCTTCGTGGCTCAGCAGGATTATCTGTTGTCGCCTGTTGAAAACGGTTGGATAAGTTCTGGTGCTTTAGAACAGATCTGTCTTGTTTTAGTGGTTCGGCTTCAGGAAGCTCGCTGGCAGTGAGATTGTAGCTGCTCGTCTCATTTGGTTCCAAGGATGACTCTTCAGTTGGCCCATTGACCCACGAAGATTCCTCTCCAGCATCATTGCTAATCGAGTCTCCTTCAAAGTCTGCATGCAGTTCATCTTTAGACTCTGCATTATCAGCAGATCCAGCTCTGGCTGCTGTTAAAGAAAAACACACACACACATTAGTGCATGCATACAACTAAAGTTGATATTTGAACAAAAACTTACTAATTGCTTGATATCCTTTTGTAGTCAACAAGGAAAACAGGAGCAATCTGGAGACAACAGTAAAGTTTAGTTTCCACAACATATCACACAATATTTAGATTTAAACAATAGGATTTAAAATGAACACAAAACTCAAAACATTTTTGTACAATTTTTCGAACATGAGATATTGCATTATCAGGAAATCTTTTATTTATAATGTAGAATTGGGCAGAACAAATTTGTTCTTAATGAAGTTTAAAAATTCTTGGAAGTTTTGATATGGAGTTTACATACATTTGTGAAAACCTGGCACTGTATGTTCAAATTGTGTTTTAGCAAAAAGAGTGCCATTTACAAAGTCTTGTTTAGTGTCTCACTGAAATTTCTACCAGAAAAATAGGCAAGTTTTAAAAAAAGTTTTTTGAGGTAAAAGTTTTGTATATTAAATATTGCAAATTCACCTGAAATTTCACTTTTCACRTATAAAACAAYRAAAAGACAGAAAACWSTATAAACTTGCCTTAGGAGGAACCTGGTGGCTTCAGCCATGGTAAACAACAAACTCAGCTGAGGTGCTCACTCAGGCAGTTTTATCAACTCCTTACCTCAATCACTAATTAGACACAGCTGAGTAGACAGGTGAGGCACATAATTCAATTCAATTAAAAAATACTTTATGGGAGGTTTATTGATTTGAATAAACCAGGAAAGATTTATGAAGGTAGACATAGGTTGTCATGAACTGTTTCTGTTTTTACTGAGACTCTCAGCCTGTAAATAAAAAATGCTAAGCCATAAATATCTTACTATTATTATTATGACCCCCGCATGCGTAGCGTAAACGGGAGTCGTATTGTTTTCGTACTATTTTTATTCTTTTCTTTTTTTCCAGTGAATTTTGGTCAACCGTACCACCAAAACGGCTGCACCGATCAACATGAAATTTGGCAGGGCTGTAGA